CCCCCCCCCCGACGAACAGAATCAACTCTTACAGGACCAAATTCAATGCACAATCCCAACTCCTGATTGTAATACATTTTTGCTAAAGCAAGGAGAACTCAGGTAGCTCAAGCTACCTTTCGTGACAAGGCCTGGACGGTCGGCAGTCGCAAAAGGGCAACACTGACAAGCAGGACAGACCTGCACAAGACTTGAACAAGGCCTGGACGGTCGGTGGAGAAGAAAGGTTGAGGGTACCTGGCCCATGGACACACCGACCCGTGGACAAGGCGCCGGACAGACGGAGCACACAAGCATGGCTGCGGCTAGAGGGCAGCAGGACGACACCAGGACAAGAGAAGGCGCCAGCGGCCAGAGGACAGCAGGAGGACAACTGGAGGACAAGAACAGGACAACAGGAGGACAACACCCTGTGGCCCATGCTGTTTTCCCTATGAGAGAATCGATCTCAATCTTTAACCCTTGGACCACAGGATGCCATGAAGTCACCTGAGAAGGGCTATGCCACTGCTAGCCTCGCTACACAACGAGTACAAAGCAATTCCAGGCTGCTGTGGCGTCGATCGGAGTACAAAACCAGACGCGACTCCTTCAACAGGAACAACCTGGTGTTTTTCACTACCCAATCAGCTGAGCGGCTTGTCAACTGCCATAAATGTATAAAGTAGCAATTGGAACACACAAAGCGACTCCGTAGAAGGTGGGATCTGGGTCGCCCCAGGTTGGAACGAATCCGCAAAGAATGTGGTTGGAACGAATCCCAATCGCCTGGGTCTTAGCAGATCAAGTGTTCAGCGGATGAACTTTGTGCTGAATGGCTATGGGTCAAAATGCGAAGGACGCCTTGCTTGACCAAAGAAACTGAAACAACACGGACATGGTGACCTAGGGGTCCATGTTTTGACCCACACCCAAATGGCTTGTTGCGGCAAGAAATCGCTCTGTCTTGAAACACGGGCTCTGCAGTTTCGGGTCCATTGGTGGAGCGTCACATAGTGTATATGTGGTTCGGAATTGCATGTAGATTACAGCCACTTGAACTTCCGGTCCCAGAAACAAATTTGACTTCCAATATGGCAGACTTAGATTCTTGTTCTACTTTGGGAAAGCAAGCACCATCTTTGGGGTCGGTTCAGCATCAGTTCTGATGTCTCAACTCATTGAGTAATTTGATCAATTCGAGCATTTGCAGCAATTCTGCACCTACGAGGACCTACACCCCTGAGTATAAATGCGAAAATGGAGTGATGCACCTACACACCTATTTCGGCCTAGCACGGCCTTAACAGGTGGACTGTGACTCTTGGGGAATCAGACGAAAGGAAACCCGTTCGCGAAAAATCGTCGACTCAGATCACCGACTCAGACCCTTTAAATTTGGTCTTGGGCTCCCAGGGTGCAAGTAATTACTTAAAGGGCCTTTTCAAACTGAAAAATGAGCTCTTCCCAGAGCTCGAAATTGGATCTAGAATGCCTACAGCCTATAGGGAATGTCACACAGCCAATTGGAATCACATTGGCTTTGACCACCTCCTTTGAGGCCTCTTGGACCATAGCATGGTCATCTTGGATCCCAGTGTGGTCATCACAGTGGTTTTTGGGAGCGTCAGGTAACCTGACTCAGGTTCGGTCCAAATTTGGATCGATCAGGGACGGAAGCTTGCTCGTAGCTTTCCCTCGATTTCGGAAGCTTCGCAAGACCCTGGAGATGTGAGGCACAGAACCAGGTTTTGACGCCCAAATCACTACACCCTAAAAATCAAATGCCTCAAATGGAAAGGGCGTTATGGGTCCGGACCATTGAAAAGGTGTCCGGTCCGACACCTGCCTAGTAGGTTGGAGGCCATCGCTATTTGGTTCCATAAAGTCGTTTTTTCTACATATGTCATGTCTTAAACTGGAGACATCGAAACGCAGGCCCAGCACGAGCTTCTTCTGCCCGATAAAACCCCGCCAACGGTTCATGCCGGGTTTCCCCAGGCCCTTTTCAATCAGCTTCACATGTGGCAAGTCAGCGTCGTCTAGTCCAGGCTTCAGAGGTTGGATGGACTACTGCCCTATCAAAACTCGAAGTTCATCACACCTCAGAGATGAGCCGGCCGGTGAACCGGCGCCGGTTTCGGCCGGTTAACGGGCGCCCACCGCCGGTGTTTCGGCGGCAACACCCCTCCCTCCAAGAGGTGACCATGGGAACCAGGGATGATCAGAATGAGGTAGGGAGTGCATCATAAGCCCAGCAGAATGAGAAGAATCCACTGATTTTTCACATGAATCACTTCGGAAGGGAGAGAGAGAGAGAGAGAGATTGTTGGGACTGCTGCGAGAGTTGCACCGCAAATTTTGAATTTTTGCGATTGCTCGGAAGTTGCAGGAGATATCTGGAGATTTTGAAGTATAGAAGAGGTTTCAAGAGCAAAGGTTTTACTGAAAAGATATAGACCAAGTAGAATATTCTACAAAAAAACGGGAAATGCAAAGGCGCCAGCAGAAACAGAAAAAGAAAGCAGTCCACAGAAAGTAGAAAAATGGAATCGAGAATAAAGGAACAAAATGTGAGGAAAACAAAACCTCCGTCTCAAAAAATTCAAAGTAGTCCGGAATTTGTCGGGATTTGGTGATTTTAGATGTTCAGACGTTTGGAGATATGCGTCCGGGAATTGTTGCGCAAAAGGTTGCGCAACAAATCTGAACTTACATGGCCCCCCCTCCATATCCACGTTAGCATGTTGTTTTTTTACCACGATTTTTTTTCTACATCCATTATTTAAATTTTAACAATATACATATTATAGTGTAAAACATGCACAAAACACTGCAAATTTCAATATCAATGAAATACAAGAAAATAGGAGGATAGGAAGGAGGGTACCATATAGAAATATGGCACCCCCTTGCTATCTCTTACTGGGGGACTAGTAGGTGCATGTTGCATGTATGTATAGTAAAAATAACTATATAACCTATAAACATATCTTTTGCCTGCAAGGACTTGGAAGTGTGCATGCGGGTCAGCTGTTGTCACGCTTGTTTCAGAAAAGAAGTAATAACCTCAACTGCAGCTTCAATCAATCCACCGCACACCGAATTGCAGGTTTGTCGTCGGACGCTCCACAGAAAATTATCCCGGCAAAAGACCCCAAACAGTGTGTGTGTGTGAGGTCCAAAATAGAAAGTCTAGAGATCTAGACGCATTGGGGCCCAGAGAGGTGATGGTGGTGATGAAGGTGGGGAACGTGGTGACGGTGACGGTGGTGGGAGTGAGCGAGGGAGCGAGGGAGCGAGGGAGCGAGTGAGGGAGTGAGGGAGTGAGGGAGTGAGTGAGTGTGAGAGAGAGTGAGTGCGAGTGTGAGTTAGAGTGGGAGAGTGAGTCAGTGTGAGCCTGAATGTGAGTGTGAGTGTGAGTGTGAGTGAATGTGAGTGTGAGTGAATGTGAGTGTGAGTGTGAGTGTGAGTGTGAGTGTGAGTGTGAGTGTGAATGTGAATGTGAATGTGAATGTGAATGTGAGTGAGTGAGTGAGTGAGTGAGCGAGGGAGTGAGTGAGTGAGTGAGTGAGCGTGAGCGTGAGCGTGAGCGTGAGCGTGTGTGAGTGAGTGAGAGTGAGGGTGAGAGTGAGAGTGAGAGAGTGAGAGAGTGAGAGCACTTCGAGGTTCACAAAGTGCGGCGCCTGCCACGAAATCTGCACTTCGAGGCTCGCAAAGTGCTCTGCCTGCCACGAAATCTGCACTTCGCGCTTGCAAAGTGCTGCGCCTGCCACGCAATCTGCACGTCCAGAGTCACCAAGTGCTGCGCCTGCCACGAAATCTGGACTTCCAGGTTCACAAAGTGCTGCACCTGCCACGAAATCTGCAAACAAACGAGCCACATGTCCAAAAGTCACGATTCACTACACCTGTCACGAAATCAGAGCACCTCAAAGATCACGACCATGTCGAAAGTACTGCACCTGCCACGAAATCTGCATTTGAAGTACAACCGCTCCGATCCCTTGCACCTGTCACGAAAACTCGACTTTGGAGCACCAAAACACGAGGTTTCCCTTGCGCCTGCCACGCAAAAAGACCACCATGTGCGAAAATGCGCGCAGCACCACAACGAGAGCGCAGTCGCGACAAGCACTCGCCGCCGCCACCCAGATTTCGCGAGCCTGCGTAGTCGAAATGCATGTCGACGATTTCGAGAGGCATGAATGTACTGTAAATAGCAGCGAATTAGCCGGACACGCCCGCGCGGCACAGCGATCTAAGCACAGCTGCTTAACGCTTACCGTAAGAACCCCTAAGTGTGTCCACACTGTTTGGGGAAAAATACAAACCATCTGAATCGTTGACTCCAAATCCAGAAGCACGTGTTTGCAGGATCCATTAAGGACTTGAGATGAACTTTCAGTCCTGTTGACCATGCCGCACCCTTCCCTGTCGAGGTACACAGAAGATCCTAGGTCGGACATGGCAGGCCAGGTCGCACGCGAGGGCCGACGGTCAGAGTTGCGGCGTCCCAAACAGGTCAAACACCTAAAGGGGAAACCAAGAAGAGTCTACAGTTCTACAGGAGTCTAAAGATATATATATATATATACATATATATATAAATAGCAAGTACATGCAAGTACTAATCCAAGGAGTCTGGAGTAGATCAAATTGAAAAGAAAAAGTCCTATGGACTACTCCCAGATTCTTCCACCAGTTGCAAATGGCCTGCTCTTGGGGTTGCTTTGATCAACACGGAGGGAGCGACCGAAACTTGCAAAAGCAGTTTGCCGGGCTCGACATCATGGGTGAACCCCCAAAGAGTATCACCGGCAACAAGGACGCTACTAGGGGGCGGTCATCGCTATTAGAGTGGAGGCCATTACTAGTAACTCCCAAGAATCACCGAGTTCGTTCGCTTGCCTGAAGTTCTTTGAAGTGCGCTCGCCCGGATCCTCACTCTGCTCCACCGCCTCCCTGGAAAATGAATCTCCTGATGAATAAGCCCCCTTGGATTGAACAAGCTCCTCATATTCAAGGAAGTTATGAATCAATAGTCTACATTCTTTCCCACCGGGCGGAACTCACGGGGCCATTCACGGGGGTCGTTCACAGGCAGCCGAGTCGTTCCAGGGGGTGCACCACCGCTGCTGACCCAGGAGATCTGCCGGAGATTCCTGGTGTCCTTTTCTCAGACTTTCAGAAGACCTCGAGCCGTCTTGGTGCACCCTGGTTCTATCCACTGGACAACTTCTTTGGAGACTGACTGTGGGCGCTCTGTCCAAAATCAGCCTTGGGTTCATCCAAGCAATCAATTGGGACATGAGTGAAACACACCGAGGGCAAGAGTCCACGCGACCCAAGAAAAGAACACCAAGAAAGGCTGAAAACCCTGCCTATCTCCCTCCAACCTCTACAAACAAGGAGGAGTTGGTCCACTTCCATGTTGGGAGGTGTTTCTTCATGCAGCTTTCGGCCGAGGCTCAAAGTGCCTCGATTGTTCACATTTTGCACCAGACTCAACAGCTCGGCCTCCTCCTTGGCCGATCCTGCAAAGAAATTGTTTCAGGGGCCTTCCCCGGTGCGGTTGCATGGAGAATTCTAAGGCCTTCCATACTCATCACCTGGTCGACCTCTGGCAAAGACCATGCCACCCGCAGGGCTTTCAGGGTTATGGTTAACATGATACACCCACGAACACGCATCAGCCTCCGGGATTGAAAAACCATTCTTCATTATTTTCAGAGGTGATTCGTCAAGATTCTACATTCTGTTGACCGAGTCGCACTTGCAAATCCCGCATTTGGGACCCCGTTGTTGCTGGGACCCTGTCTTATGGCGTGGCTTCGAGACTCGATCCAAAGTGAGACATCGGAGGGCAAAAAAAATGTGCCTATCTCCTCCAGCGAAGAAAGAAAGACCCCCGAAGCAAAAAGATGCTGCATGATTTTGCCTGCAGAACCTCGTCCGAAACCACCCGCAATCTGTTCGTGCCTGAGACCGAGGGGCCCTGTCGCAGGCCCGTGGCAGGTGGAGATTCCTGGTCCTGGGCCATCTTGGCATCCGGAGAACAGTGAGAAACGAGGTTTGGCAGCTTCGTTTTTAGAGTGAAAACCCAGTGTTGAAACGAAGATGTGAAGCAAAGATTTGGGAGGGAGAACCGTTTTTGCATGTGATTGTGTATTTGTTTGTTTTGTTCAAGTGAGAATAAACAAAGAAGGATCCTTGGGGAGCTGCACTTCTGGTCCGATTCGATTCATGGCGAACATGTGCTTTTACCCCACAAGCGAACACATGCGATTGGAGACGTGCTCGTTTGGTTTCTGCTTTTGGAGCTCTGATCCCCATGTCCACCCGCAATGCATCTGCATCTAACACGTCGGAGAATGTTGGTCATCTTGTGCTGTATCATATCCAGTGAACTCAGCCTGAGGATCGTGTCACTCAGGAAAAAACAAAAAAGTTACCTCGCTGACGATGAGAGGCTGGTCCACTGAAGCAGTTGGTCGTCGTGTCCTTGTGTTCTGTCCGTGCTATGGACAGTCACACGTTCATTTGGGGGCACCCTTGCATCCTGCGCGTGGCGAACGAATATATCCTCGTTCCGATTTGCTGGGGCTGTCCCCGCCACGGAGAAGAAGCACCGGCACGGTTCCAAATGAATATTCCAGCCGCTCCACCAAACAGCTCGTGTTCACTCGAGGTCTTTCGCTTGATAAGGGAACTTGGCGCTACCCACTTATGATTGTTGTTGATATCTACAACTCACACCCACGCGTGTGCCATGTAGACCTACAACACAAGTTTCTCACCTGTAGAGTCGACACCCAGAGCATTCTCCCAGGTGGGTGAAGGAGAAGGAGGGTGGCTGCTCGGTGGGCTATAAGCCAAAATGGCAACGTTTTGGCTCAGCTAGTAGAACATTCACGGTAGTATGCGAGGACACAACAGGTGAATATTCCAGCCGCTCCACCAAACAGCTTTTTCCTCTCGCGTTCACTCGAGGTCTTGCGTTGGATAGGGGAACTTGGCGCTACTCACTTATGTTGTTGATATCTACAACTGACACCCATGCGTGTGCCATGTAGACCTACAACACAAGTTTCTCACCCGTAGAGTCGACACCCAGAGCATTCTCCCCCCGTTGGCCACTAGGCACCCTAGAGGCGCTCTGGTGTCTACTCTATTGCCCCCGCTGCTCCAGGGCGCCAATCGAGGGTGCAGGAGTGGTGGTGGTCCGCCCCAACACGCCGGGATCGGGACGAGCCCAAGGAGCCCCCAACGCACGGACCTCAGAGGGGTTAAAGCGTGGCGGGCCGTCGGCGAGGTTCGGTTTGCTTTCCGCTTTGTCGGTGTAAACGTGTGCGCGGCCACCGCCAGCCAAAAGTCTCCGACGATAGAGGTACTGTCAACCTGGGGAGAGTACCCTTTGACCAAGTTGGCTGACGCGCTATCGTTATCGCAGAAAAAGGAAGACTGAACGATGTTGCAGACGTGTTTGCCAAGTTTGAAAGGCAACAAGTGCAGCGAGCAGTTCTAATTGGCCCATAAATGACTTTCTTTGAAGCCATTTATTCACTACAAAGTCTGGGACGGGCCAGGCCGTGTACCCGCAATACTGATCCAATGGATCGAAAGAGAACGCTCCGAGAATCCTCTGAGGTATTCGCCCCGGTACATCCGAGGCGTCCGTGTATAAGAGAATGGGATCCTCGTGCTTGAGTTTCAACTCAGGCGATGGGCACGTGGAGAGAAATGCTTTCATCTGTCTCAGGGACAGTTGGAGCTCAGTGGTCAGAGACTCCACCGGGTAGGAGGCGTACTGTCGTCGACGAAGAGGGCCTGTGCAGCATCTGCCAACTCTGCCAAAAAGTGTAGAGCAAAGAAACTGGAATTTTCCGACCGTACTAGCAGCCAAAGCTGGCGACAGCTTATTGGTGTGCAAGTACAAGTCATACTGCTTCTCCGGCACCACATCTGGAATCAACGGCGACTTTGAGTAGAAAAGGAGAGTTGGCCGCAGTGAGTAGCATCCCCTAGACAGCTTCTTCCTCAGGTGCATCGACTCGTCCTCGAAAGCGATTATCACTTCCTTCTCTTCAGCGTCAGGACTGGCGTCCTTTCGGGATGATTCCGGGCGGAAAACTGAGCGGCAATCCATCTTGGACCGATCTGAGCTTATGTGGCACAGCACTACTTCGGATTCAGCTGGAACCGCGCATTCGCCTGCAGAGTTCTTCTGCCCGCCCCTGCCCACCATGGCTCCATGAAGCAGTTTTCTGAGCAGGTTGTCGTCCGGGTTGAAGCGCTTTCTCAAGCGCGGCTGTTGGTCAGGCCCCATCCAGTCCCCAAGCAAGCCCAAGTCAAGGTGAGTGAACACCGGGCCGGCTGAGCTCGTTAAGAAAAATTGGCCTCGACGCGAATGATCTTTTGGCTCGCCAGTGTTAAAGTAGACTCCTAGTATTGCGCAAACCTGACTGGGCGGTTGCGATTTTTCCGGGTCCAACTGGAATCCCAGTCGCAAAGTCGCGAACGTCTCCCGGAGGCCGGAGGCAAAAGACCGCTGTGTCAATTGTGGCAGTCGGCTCAACTAGAAAGAAGTCGTCGAAGAAGTGGTCTGTGGTTGTTTTGTACAACCGCTGCATCACTCTTGCCAACCATTCCGCGATTCTGCAGAAATTTGGAACCGCATGCCCGGCACCAAATGGTTGTCCAAAAATTTCGTGTAGAGAGAGAGAGAGACTTCACCTTGGTTAGGGTCATAGACGGCCGTGATGGCGAACCTTGTTTTTTTCTGGTGCAAGGGGAACCTGCCGGTACTCGCCCTTCGTGTCCTCGGTTGCAAGTGAGATGTCCTTGGTCGTTAATGCCAAGGCTCTGCACACCACGCCAACATAGTCGACCATGACCATGGGGACTTTCTGAAGCCGATGGGGGACTTGATTTACTCCTGCAGCGGTGTGGTCGTCGATGCGCCTCTACTTCTTGTGGCCCTGAGAATCAATGCCTTGTTCCAGTCCAAAGCTGGGTACTATTTGAATGGATAGCCGTACTTTGCTCCTACCTTTTCCAGAGACATGCCTTCTCCCATGGCACCAGCTTTGACTTCTACGCGGCGTATCATTTGTTGAGAGCGCTCCCAACAACCTTCAAGAAACTCTTCTCGAGTCATCGTTGGGGTAATCTCGAAAGACTCGAAGAAGGGGGACACCGAAGCTCGACCTGTGATGCTGATCCCCTTCATGCACAGATCCGGAACTGATGTGTCTTCGATGCCAAGAACGTCCTGCAGCCTTTCCATGAGCAAAGTGTTGATCCTTGTCCCCAGGCGCTTCGCTGTCCACGGTGCCTTCAAATTCTGGCGCGCCTGTTTTGCACGAAGTTCGGTAGCCCAAGACTGGATCATTTTGAGGGCATCCAATCTCCTGGCTAATAGTTCCTCAACATCCCTATATAGGCTTCGATTGCTCCTGCGTGGTCTTCTTTGAGAGACTGCATGGAATCGAAAGGATGCTCCATCTTCTTCGCCCTGCGGAAGTGCTCGCAGGGATCACACAGCTCATCTTCGATCAATTGTTTTCTCTTCCCGAAACTGGGTTGGCTCCCTGCTTCGGTGGCATGCATTCTGTAACGACTCTGATTATCGGCGGTTGTTTCCTCTGCGTGGTGAGCCTCATCCACCTTCTCAACTGCTCGATGCCGCGGAATGCGGGCCAAGGTCTGTGACTCTGAATGTTCAACTCAGGGGGGCCGAGTAGAGTCCCCTCTAGGAGTGGAGTAGTTCCCCATGGCAACTGGCCTGGAAAGTGGTGCATTAGGCCCTGAGAAAACTTCAACGAAATGGTGGGTGGTCTAGGAAGAAGAATTGACAGTCCTTTTGCATATGCCTCACAAAAGGCAACTCCCTCTCCTCCGAAGTAGGGAAGGAAGTAACCCGACCCTTAGAGACCAAAGGTTTGCAGTGTAGATGTCCCAGCCCTGTCCTAGAGCACCTCCTGCTACTCGCACAGGTGAGACCAATAAAATCGATGAGCGATGGAATGTTATGAATTAAAATTTGCCCCTTCCTACGTTTGCAGGGGGGAAACATGCATGCGTGATATTCGGTTGAGAATACCCCGTCAGCCCCTTCCAACTCCTTCCATGAGTCCAAGTGGCGAGCCAATGAGTTTCTAGGGTTCTTGAGTGAAAAGTACGCTCCTCGTCTGTGCGCGTCCAAACACCTCGCGGCTGCCATGTTGGCCATATCGGTGTCAAGTGACAACTTTCGTCGTTGTAAAAGACCTCCGGGATCCCTCCAGGGAATGCTTCGCTCCTGAGAGGTCTAGGTGGGCGCCTAAGAATTGGTCGTTCCCCCGCGAAAATGTACTGCAATTTGGTGCCCAGTGTTGTACTTCATGTTCGAGAAGCTCGCACCCTAGCGTGGATCGGTCCCTAAAAACATCCCTACCCCTCAGCAAATCCTACAGCGGAAGAGTCGGTATGCCCTCACTCCAGGAACGTGAGTCGCTTGATCTCCCTTCCTCTCTGTTGGAGGGTCCGACTTCGTCTTGGCAGCGGCCGACTTCTCCGCCCTCTTCTGCTCCTTCTGACGCTTTCGCCATCCTGGGGGGATTCCACAACGGGGCTCGTGCTTCTTTTTATGCACATCCGGGACTTCTCAGGAATTGCGTCGGTTTTGTTAGTCTTCGCGCTCCCGCTTCTGGCCCCTACCGGGTTCCGGCTGGGCTGGGCCTGTTTGCTGAGAGCCCTTCTCCAGGCCCTGATCTGGGTAGGCTTCAGCGTAGTGGTGAAGTCCAGCCCCAACCGAGCTCGAGCCCTTGGCAACCACCTTCAGTATCTCTGCCATGATCTCGCGGTCACACCTCCTCGCTTCATTGGGGGTTGGAGCTCTCATCCCTTCGGGCACAGTGGCGCGAAGCGCTTCAACACGCCTGCCGTCATAGGCCACGACCTCCGCATGCTTGGCCACCTCCATCATATGCCACGCGTTCGCACGTAGTTCAAGCGTGTCGTCGAAGTCCGAGGCCATGGGGAACCTGAAGGCCATTGCCTCCGCCATGTTGATTTTGCACAGACTCAGAACCAGAAAGTCCGATTCGTGGACATCAACTGGACGGCTCGCCAGGCTCTCCACGCGACTCTTCATCGACTTCACCTTCTCCTCAAAGTTCTTCTCGCAGGTCCATCGCCATCGGCGCCTTTTGCATCTGCAATTCCGGCTGCCCCGAGTCAGGGCCCTCGGTGCAGATGCTGGCTTCGACTAAAGGCCGACCCTCCTCCGTGACGGGAATTTGCTCCTTCAGCAGGAGGTCACTAACCGTGCCCCAATCTGGTTTCAACAGCCTGTGGTCCAGTTGGACTCCGGACAAGGCTTGCATAGCTGCACCCCTCCTAATCTGATCCATCGTGCGCCACTGCGCCTTCAGGATTGTACTCTGCGACTCTCGCAGGTGTAGATCGCTAGCCTTTTGGAACCTCACCACATGCGGGGTAATACCAAAATGCAGCATGTACGATGACATCGTGCTCTTGCATGAACGCCAGCTCATCATGTCAATCGCCCCCCCATCCAAGGGCACCTGGAAACCTCTCCGCAAAATCATTCAACAAACAATTCTTCACGACTAGGCGTTTCCAATTGCCGCTGCCAGCAAATCCAGCCGCCAACTCGTGCATCTTAATCAACAAGTTGACCCACTCAAAAAGCCATTGGTCGTTGCCCGCGTTTGCTGCTACCCAAGCTGCGGCCCACGGCCTGGGCCCACTCCTCGCGTAGTCAGCCTTTGCCCTCAGTCCCAAGACCTCAAGACGTCCAACTGGGCGGCACCATTCCACCGCACTCATGGCAGTTCCTCCTAGATCACTGTGTCGGATACTGGCTTGGATACATAATCGAAGCTTTCCGCACACAACTCTGGTCTGCGAGTCTCTCCCTTGATCCAACACCACTCTCTCTAGGTAGTACAGGAAATCTACCTCGAGAGGAGGTGCTGGGTTGCGCTCAAGGGGCTCTTGGTGAACATCCGAACGCTAGCTTCCGGACACTGGCACGCTTCGTTCCGGAAGTCTCGAAACCGAATACGCCGCCGAAATGATCAATGGCGTACATCAGGCTCTGTGGGACTAGGGGCCCTGCTCCCGACTCCACCAGCCGTATGAGGTACTTCTGCATAAACTGGGCGCTGAAGAGCTCCCCCGACGCCTTCCCCTGAGGGACTTGCTTTGTACGCTTCGATATATCGCAGAAGTAGCTTCGCATAACTGAGGCTCATCCCAGCCGACCGAGGCTCGGTGAGGACGTGGAACCGATCATGCAATAGATCCCCACCCTCTACCACGGCATCTACTAAGTCCATCCTGACTTCCAGCAACACCAGCTCTTCGAAGAGTGACTTTACCTGCGCGCGACAAGCTTCAAGTTTTTTGGACTTGAGAGGGGTTGATCTTGATGGCAATGTCAGCGGGACATACTCCTCGTCGGGGTCAACAAATTGTCCAATCCAATGTTGGGGGTTCGGCCTTCTTCTTGAAGCTCTCTGAGATGCCCTGATCCACCGGCTCATCAATGGGTCCCGAGGTGGTGCACTCCACCTCTGGACTGATGGCTTCGCATTGACCTATACCTTAGGCTCCGCCAACTGCATCAGGGGTGGACGAGCTTGCTTCCTGAAGGTTACCTGTGGAGCCTCGTCCATCCCCCCCCAACTAGGACGTCCTGACGAACTGTTCCCAGTCGGCGTGGTTGGCGAAATTGATGGAGAGCGCCTTCCTTGTGGTATCTCCCGGCGAGCTCCGCTGAGTTCAGCCCGCTGGGGGGCTTCAGAACTTATTCCGCAATTTCTCCCTGGGGCTGGAGCGGCACTGCTCCCAGGGTGGATGAACCAGAAAGGGACTTTGTGATCGTATGGGGCCAAAGGGAAGTCCCCTTCCTCTCCCTTACGAATCATGCCAATGAGCCCTTTTGCCAGAACTCCCGACTCGAGCATATCGGCGATCTCTACTCGCGCCGCCCACGCACCCACAGCCATCAGGCCAGAGGTCCTCCCCAGCTTCGCACTACCGGGGCGAGGAGACAGAGCTTCCTCGGATCTCTTATGCCCTAGACCGCGGCTACGCATTCCCCGTCCCGAGTCAGCCATTCTTTTCCCCCCGCTGTGAAGGAGAAGGAGGGTGGCTGCTCGGTGGGTTATAAGCCAAAATGGCCACGTTTTGGCTCAGCTAGTAGAACATTCACGGTAGTATCCGAGGACACAACAGGTGTTTTTCAGAAAACTGGTACCACTGTGACTTCAGGCAAATGCTACTTTGACCTAATTTGTCTCCCCAATGGCCCTTTGGCGCAACTGGGCTTATTCTCAGTGTTGATACTCTGAAACCACTCGCCCTACCACTCGCCCAGTCGAACAATTCCAACCCAACTTGATGGGGTCACCGACCGTCACGAAAGGCTGACAAGTTTGACCGGCGAATCACCGAAGAAGTAGTGCTGGACAATCTCCATAAGTAAGAAGTAAGAAGTAACAAGAAGTAAGAAGAAGTAAGAAGTAAGAAGTAGTAAGTAGTAAGAAGATGTAAG